CCCCCCCCCCCCCCCCCCCCTGCGGTCAAAAAATCCTGGATCCGTTCCTGACTTCCTGTCAACCCTCTCATTCAAAAAACATTTCCCCCTGCGTTAGAGGCACTGGTTAGATTTCTTCTATAGATCTAGACCACTCTCAATGATCTTTATTATCTGCCTATACAGTACTTTAGCTGCGTCCATTCCGAGCACAAAGTCAATATGATTCCATTCAGGGATCACTTGATACAACGTCACGACCTTTTGGATTTCTTCTTTCAGTTGCAGCACATCTGCCTCGACGCTAAGACTGTCGTGTTGGCCCACGAACATAGCAGTGGGTGTGGTCATCTTGCTGACGTTATAGGCAGGAGGCTCATCCTGAAATCGCGAGGGAGAAAAGTGAAGATCAGGTAAAATTTTGTGACTGAAACTTATGTGAACTGAATGATGTACCATGGTGCTGGCAGGGGGATGTAAGCATAAAGATATTGGTTTGGGGAGATCGTTTTACCTGATGATAGTGTCTTCGGTTGCCCCATTTTCCATAGTTAAATCTTCTTGTTTGATTATCGTAGATCACCTTCATGGATAAATAACAATAATGAGAAAAATGCAGGAAGAAAGGAAGGGAAAAGGAGTGAAGAAATTGAGGAAGAGAAGAATAAAAAGGAAAAGGAAGGAATGACAAGGAGCCTCAACTCAAACCACCACAAGTAGTCTCTCTTAGCTTTTTCATTAAGACGTTACGTGCTGGTTCTGAATCGGTTTTAAACCCCATCAGCATTATGATCCCTTTTCTGGCACCACTTACCTGCCCAAAATGAATGATATTCTTAAACGAAGTGCCAGCTGGCCAGTGAGACGCTAACACCGGAACTCGAGTCTGAATAGGGGAAAAGGCGAGAGAGCAATTTTGTAAGTGGAACTGATTGATAAACAAGATGTAATGTCATTGATGTAAGTGAAATTGATTGATTGAGGACGTAATTATACGTTCTAAGCACACGTTATCGCCTTTGAAATGTGGGCACACTTGAGCTATTGGCCAACACACCAATCAGTTGAACATTGATAGCATTTTTCTTAAAATTAACATGTGTCTTCAGCCTAATAATTTCTTTTTATGAAGCTTTCGGACTAAGCGTCCATCTTCAGTCAAGAAATGAAATGTACTCGAATGTCGCAGGCAATCGATGTTGTGCGGTATGTCTCTGACGATGCGATTTGTTGCACGTACTGGTGCTGAATTAGAAAACGATACTACTTCAACATTATTAGCTTCAATATTGCGCGCATTGTTGGCGTGTGCCCATAACTTTAGTTATCTAATCGTCTCTCGATCGATCGATTTCCTGCATATTATGTCCGAATCCTAGCTATAGTACTTTACGATATACACATATATTTCAGTAAGACATTTAAAACGCGCGTACATCTCTGTACTGGGATATAAACACGCTGGGAGGTGTAAAGCAAGAGTAGCCGAGTGTTTTTCTTGCTTTTCGAGCGCTCTACAGCTCCCAAAAAGCATAGACTTAAGCACAAGGGCGGATCGAGGGGGGTGGGGTGGGGGCTGAAGCTCCCCCTTCAGCAGAAAAAAATGATGCATTTTTATATTGTTTTCCGTTGTGTTGACGGAAGAAACTCAATTAGCCCCCCCTAAAATCTTGGCTGAATCCGCCCTTGAAGCAGCCGTTTTATATTGCTTTTAATATAAAATATTTTCTAAGACTTTTGCGCTAGCTCGGCTCTGTCCTATGCCACAAACATGGTAGTCAGCCAATCAGCGCGCGCGTTATATATGAAATATTTCATTAATAATAGTCGGTATAACAATCGTAATCGTTTTATCGCTGTTTTTTTTTTCAAAAAGATGTATACCAACAAATACAGTGCCATATAATTACCATATTTTGGTTTTTGTCGTCGAATCCAAAGATCAGCTCTGCCGCGTCATAGCACAATTTCTCGGAATATTTCCCGCCACAGAAGCCTAGTTTGGTCAACTGCTTTAGTAGAAACCCCGGTAAGAATTGTGTTGGTCCGAACGGGAGAAGAAGTTCCTGGGGTAGTATAAATATAATCATTAGTATAAGTAATCATACGTTTTATTGTTAGGTCTCTCCTTTGATTCGAGGGGCTTTCCTCAGGATCTCGATCCGCTTTCCCTAGCTCCGCAAAACCCATCACGCTAAATTTGAATTCGATCTGTGAGTTATCTATGTCCTGACGTTGAGCAGCCCAGAGGTTGATTCAGTGCATTGTTGACAAATCTAAGCGTACGCGATCAAAATTCACAAATGGCCCATATTAACTTGTGTTATTGATCTGAAGTAGTTTAGCATGAAGCATATAAGACGTGTAATAACAGTCCCTAATGTATTTTCTCTCCCTCTTTCTCCTCCTCCTTTCCTTTTAACGAGTGTAGCTCACCTGAACAGGGCCCAACGTCAATGCAGCGTCTTTAACAAAAGACGTCACGTGACCCAGGTGGTAAATTGGAGCCAACGCAAAGAATTGCTTGACTTTCTTTGCGACTTCAGGATGTTCAGAGAAGGAGAGAAACCCAACCAGGGTACCTTGGGAGTGTCCTATATAATAGAGCTGTTCTTGGCCCGATTTCTTTAAAGCAAAGTTGATCATGGCTGGGATGTCATAGTCAGCCATTTCTTCAAAGCTAAGGACGAAAAAAAACAAACCAGGATTACCAATGTAAGTATATAGAGTGAATATGCATTGAATGAATACAAGTGCTGCCGCAATTAACGCATCCGTGACAGAGCGCAAGTGCTGTGCGCTGTTACATTGTCTTTAAAGCTAAAGTTCATTCTCTATTGCTGGGATTCAATCAACTGATTAAGTCTTTAAAACTCATTATCTGTTTCAAATTGTGGCAAACACTGACCACCATGTGCTTTCAACCAGAAAAAATTGTATTGAAAACTTGTGTTTCAGCTGCCATGATGAACATTCTGACGAGACAGCTAGCTGTTGAGCGAAACCTAGCAATTGGCAGATGAACTAAACTCATAGCCGGTAGATACAATCGTCCATCTAACTGGCTTGTAATCGCACCGTCATCTATGGCGTATGTACGCCATTTCCAACGACCTCACTAAGAGGGACAACTCCGAAATGACGTCAAGTGCGAAAATATGTATACATTCTTGCGCAAACGTATGAGATGACGATATCAAGGTATAGAGGCTCTGCACCATCAAGTGATAGGAGCCATGACAGGAGGTACAACAATAGTCAGATTAGACCATATTCACTGATTCTTCCTGTCTGATGGTGTAAAGCCTCTGATTGTTTTGTATAACGCCGAGTATCATTTCTTACCTCCAATCCCAGAATCCTCTATCTGCAGGTGTATATCTCACGTGTTTTCGTGAGTAAGTGTTACCCCGTATGTTACCCAACCATACATCAAAACCTTTGTCAGCCAATATGTATCCCAGAGAATCATCCTCCGATTCAGTGACCCAGTTAGTCGCGTCAGCTAGTAACCCATGTTGTAGGAACACTACTGGTTTAGATCCGTTTGTCTTCACGCCTTTTTTTCCGTACGGGATTCTTTGAACGCCGAGAATGAACCCGTCTTCGGTAAGCACTTCGTAGGTCTCCACAGGGAACCCGCGGCTTTTTATTAGCTGAGTCTTAAATCAAAGTTTAAGATTAGCCATTCCATTTGGGTCACTTAATACTTAGGGAATAATAACACGGAAAAGAATTTCCAATCAAAAACTTCCGTTCGCATGTGAAACCCATTTAAATGTCAGTACTAAATTCTAACAAAATTTAAAAAGCCCCATATTAGGCAGCAATATGAAGTGAAATAGATATCAAAATCTAGATTAATTAAATATATAAATATATAAAAACTCCATTAGTATAAAGACGACGTTTTAAACTAATGCCAACAAATCACAATAAATTCATGCATCCGTGATTTTTGAATATAAAATAAATTAAAATATAATTTATAATTAAAAAAATTTTTTTCCATCGATTATCGTGTAATACTAGCCATGTTCACAGGCTATGTAATACAGGATCTCAGGATTTTTGCGGGCTTTTTTTTTCTTTTTTCTTTTTTCTTTTTTTCTAAAGTGAATTATAAAAGATATTAAAGAGATATAAAAAACCATAAATATGAAGACGACGTTTTGCACTAATAATGCCAAACACAAATTCATGCACCAGTGGTTTCGAAAAATACCAAATTGTAAAAGTTAAGATTATAATGTATAAGAAAACATTTTACATCGATCGTGTAATACAGGATCTTAGGATAACATTTGTTGTTTGTGTTTTATTTTTTGCATTTAAATTTTATTATCTTGGACGACCTTTTACGATAGTCCATCGGATTAAGTGTCGAAGATGATCTCTTGTCGTCTATTTTATAAATTTTAAAACAATAAACAGACTTCATTTCGTGTTAAGAAAGTTTATATTACTTACTACATTCCTTGTTACATCAGGGTCAATCTTGATACATCCAGGTTTCGAATGATCTGTATTATTTATGCATCTACACGACGCTTGCAGCGAACAAAAGGCAAGAAACGCGCAGATCAACAACACAGTATCAGTCGAGGATGAGTTACAGAACATTTCGGTTTCGAGGTTCGTTACGCTCTTGTAAGAAATATGGCTTGTCTGTGTTTGACTATCTCGACCAAGGTTATATTCTAGAGATATTTCAAAACTTTTCCAAGGAAATTTCCAGCTTGTTGACGCAAGATCCGTGGCCAGTTGATTGTCATGTGACTGTTCGATTGTGGCTCGTAACAAGATGGTTATTACCCTGATTGACAGCTCATGTTTCCAGCAAGGATTACATGTATATATTATAGATACGGTGTTAGCATCAATGGAGTTAATTAAAAAGCTATATCTGACTAAAATTTACTTATAATTCACATAATTTTACATGTAACAGGAAATGTCAAGAGAGCATAAATACTTATTCTCTCTTGAAAAAAATAATTTCAGACTAATCAGAAACCGGAAGTCATGGTATAACTCGACGATCATAATATTGCCGCGGGCTTCCTGTGGTAAGGGATGCGCTCAAGCCGAATGGAGGCAAGGACTGTCATCATGAGGAGAAAAACTAAAACTCTAAGAGTTTTATTCAAACTAAAAAGCACGGAAAACTAAGACCAGTCAACTATAATATTCAAAGAATATTTTGCATTTCTGTAAACGAGCGAAGATGGATAGTGCAAAGTGCATACTTGCATTTGAAAGATTCAGCTTCAAGCCAGTATCCAACTTTTGAACGAAAGTAGGTCATTTGTCCCTTTTTATGCTCAAACCTGTGCTTTTATCCTGAATTTAAGGAATATAAATACGCGAAAGCTCATTTTTTATCGCTGTTAATTATTTTCAACTTTTGAGTTAAGCTTGTAGGTCACCGTGATACTTTAATAGTGATGAAGCTTATAGTCTCTAGTTTTAAAGTCCGAGAACAATACACTGTCTTTTATCTCTCCTTAAAGAATATAACTCTTCTCGTTTCACGTTTATTATCAATTTTCTCTGTCTCATTTTTAGATAATTTAAAATTTTCAAACTTTTAACTAAATCTTGATTAAAATGTCAAAGATATGTGTCCGCGAACAACTGGTCAGCTGTCGGGTTGTCATGTCAACCATTGTATACATTCATTCGATGATAAACCAAGAAAGTGCGCGTGCAAGAATCGACAAGAAAACCCTTTAACGGTACGTCTGATTCTTTTTAGATCGTTTCCTTCTTTCTAGAATAAGATAGATTTGCGTAGAATGCTTCTCGATTCATAGATTCTTACGACCTTTTTTGAATTCAAGGCTTTTTTTTACACGTGAGTTGAAAGACTTTGGTCGCGCTGTTTGTCATTGGCGTTGAATCTACGTTACAAATTCAATGTTTTACAGCCTAAAATATTGATTGTTACTTGTAAAATTCTTCAAAATTTTAATATTAGAGCTTCTGAAACAATGTATGGATGTTTCAGCCCTAATTATTTGTTTTTTTCCTTCGTTCATTAAATTTTGCGTGTCGTTTTGTTGTCATTTAACTTCACAACAGGGTCACCAAAATACAACAAAAAGCAATGATATTCTTTCTTTATCGTCTAAAAAATGCATTTAAAAAAATGATAGCTTAGCTATCAATAAAATGTATAATTTATTGCTATTCAGTTTCAAATATTTATGTAGATTGAGTATTTGTTTAAAGAGAAATTTTGAGAAGACCGATCTTGGAACATTCATAACATGAACTAACATATTGTAATGAAATTTAGTTAGATTCAGTTGATATGAAAAAATAGAAGGGTGGCGTAGTCGTAGTGAATTATCCTCTGTGGCATCAAATGCCAGTAGAACTTCTTCAGACTCTGTCCCTAGGGATATGAGAAATTTTTTCGAGACCAGGTTTTTTTGTTTTCACCATCTGCAATGACCCATCAAGCTACATCAGTAGATTAGATTTGTGAATTAGCCATGCAGTGACTTAGATCAGCTCAAAGGTTGCTTCAGTGCCCAATAAGATTAAAAATGTATGATATTAACATTTTTGTGCAAATGCAGTGCTTGCATACAAAATATGATTTTTTTTTTCATTATTTCTTTTTATTTCTCTATAGATATAATACTTAAACATGGGGCGTCTACCCTATGGCCCAGGCAACCCACACATCCTACAGAGTAAGGGTGCAGACAAAGGAGTTATGAAGTTCTATTGCACTGAATACTCTACTCATTATGGTCAGGAAGGTTTTAACCCAAGAACAGGCAAACATGTCGGCACTGGATATCAGTCTAATTTCAGACCTGGAGTATACTATAGTAGGAAGCTTGATGAACTGGATAATCCAGCCATGGGGTAAGTTTAAGAGACAAAAAGGATTTAAAAAGCAGCTCTTTTCCAAATTGATCCTAAGGATGGATGACCAAAATGATTTTAATAAGTTAAATTTAAAATGTTCTGTTTTACACCACTTGTATGGCTGGTATAATTTGTTGTGTATATTGAAAAAAAACCCAGTTTATTGCTGGGTGTAATCAGATGATGAAAGTCTGAGTGTTGGTCAAAGATCAACAACCATGTGCTATCAGCTCCAGAAGAAGACTTATGATTCAACTTATATTTATGCACATTCTGCATAAGACAGGAAATGACATCAAGTGAAATAAAGCAGTTGTGTCACAGTATGCTAACGACTCTCTTAAATGTATATCCTAGGAAAATTGTAAGCGATAATTATGCATCTATCACCAAGAAGCATTTCCTGCCTTCTAAAGGTTCTCAGGGCTTTGATCCTTTTTCAAGAGGACTACACATGACAGCTACTAGTGGCTTTGTTAAGGATATTCCAGGAAACTTGCCAAAATCTCACCAAGTAAGAAGTCAATAGTCCCCTTCACAGTTCCCTTCACCATCTTGAAAGGTAGCTGTGCCTTGCATTGAAGTGAGACGAACGGCAAGCTTGCAATGATACAGACATTTTTTAATACCTTGGACAATTATTTGCATGTCTCTATCATTGCAAGCTTGCCGTTCGTCTCACTTCGATGTAAAGGTACGGCTTCCTTTCAAGATGGTTCAGGGAACCATGAAAGGGATTATTATCAATATTAATCAGTATTGATGGCTGTTGTAAAATTTTACTCCTTAAAATTTTTCAACCAATTTTTCCACATTGGATGTAGTCTTAAGCTAGTGTACTCCTTAACATTATCTTTAATGCATTGTTGTGTGGTGTTTTTCAGGTTGCTAGTGTACATATTGATACCAGAAGACAGGGCACAGTCTATCCTGCTCATCGTCCTCTGCTACACACCTTGAATCAAAAAGATCCTATTCAGAGAGAAAATGCTTTTCATGTGAGTAGAAAAATGTTTTGTGTCCAATGCAAGTTTTGTAATCTGAAAAGGGGTTTTATAGGCCTAAAATGTGAGTAAAAGTAATAGTTAATGTTGTTTTTTTGTGCTTGCATGGATAGTTATTAAAGATGTAAATTATGTTTCTTCAAGCAAATTTTTGTTGGGAAAAATGCCTCCTAGATCAGAGCTCAGAATTGTTTTCTGACAAAAATTTGCTTCAAAAAACACCCTAGCCTAGCCTGCATAACAGCACTTTGGGAAATGCTCCTTCTTTTCCCTCCTCCTCAGTCCTCCCCCCTCTCCAAAGCACCACTGCGCAGGCTAAATCCAGGCAGGTATTTTTCTGGTTGCAGTGATTAATCTTGTGAATTTAATAAGATACATTTTTTTCTCTAAGGGCCCTCTTTACATGTCTACTGAGGCAAGAACTAGGTTCCTTGGCCTACCAAGTGAGAGAAGTAAGTATTCCTTTCCCATGTTCTTTATCTGTTTGTGGTGTTGAAGACAGTGTTATCCCCTTTAATAGAGTTGTTTTGCTGCTTTTAACATTTGATGATGATGATGATCTATGTGATTATCAATGATAATGATGATGATAATGATGCTATATTTAGGAAATGGTGGGGGTGAAGGTACATGTAGTGATTATGATGATAATGATAATAATGATAATCATAATGATGATGATGATACTAATACTAATAAATATATTTCTTCCATTGAAATGCCATGTATAAGCTATGCTCAGCTATGTCAACCCTTTATGGTGTTTTGAAGTCGATTACTTCTAATTTTGTTTATTATATGATCTCATAGTGAATACCTCATGTAAAACAGTAGGGCACAAGGAAGGTTCTGGATTCACGCATGCTTATAACGATGAGCCTGTCTTGTTTAACCCAATGGAGGCATATGAAGGATTGAAAGATGTAAGTCAGGAAAGCAAAAAATTATCTATGTGCAGTGTGTCCTACTGACTGACAACCTGGTACATAGGTAGATTTAGGGGGAGGGGATGGGACTGTATAGCTCCCTTTTAGTATTCAATTTTTTTTACCTTTTTGGCCAAAAATATCCCTAGAACACAGGAAATAGCATATTTTCTGGAAGCCATATTAATCAATAATTTCTTGGTAGCCTGCCTCCAGACCTGCTATGGTTTTATTTTGCATAGTGAGCAGATTGTAATTCATCTAATGCTGAATATTTCCAACCCCTGGCTGACTGACTGAGTAACAGAAAGATAGACAGACACAAATGTGGTTTCTAGTAAAAAAAGATACTGTAGAATTGTAAAAGAAATCTCACCACCTCATTATTATTTATTTTCAGCCTCGTTTTACATCAAGACCCACTGGATACAGTGTGATGAAAGGATCTTTTAGGCCTGTAGAATACCAACATGTAAGTATATATCGCTTGAATTAAATGCACCAGTCATATCTGGATACAGTGTGATGAAAGGATCTTTTAGGCCTGTAGAATACCAACATGTAAGTAAATACCCTTCAATTAAATACACCAGT